CCGTTACAAAATGATTAAGAACTTATTGGGTCATATAAAACAGGTCACTATAATTTGATATCGACTATGCGATTTGAGAATTTTTGCTCAAAATTTAATTTTCCATAAAAAATAGGGTTTTTTTGGATGGACCTGGTCCCCTCGGTATCAAAAATTTTTAGGTTTTGTTTCATTTATCGTATTTTATGTAAAGTCAGCTTTCCAAAAAGTATAAATTCTATATACATCTTCTTAGAAACTTTTTAGATAACTTAAAAAGAAAAAGATACTTTTTTCCCAAAAAAATGACAAAAAATCGCCTTTTTTTAATTTTTTAAATTTAAATGCCTATAACTTTGGACTCAGTCATGATTTTTACATAATTCTTTCACTGCTTGGTATATAAACTTGTTGTTAAGCAAATAAAAAAAAATGGCGAAAATCGGAAATATTTGGACCTGCTATTATCAAAAAAACTAAAGTAAGGACGGTAAAAATTTTAAAATTTTAATATTCAAATGCGAATATCTCCTAAACTATAAGAGATAATTTACTGCTACGACGACATTTTTTATAGTGCTCGATGAGGAGATTCTATATACGAAATTTTTTTTAAATCGGAACTCAAATGAAGAAATAGGATCGTTTTAAAAATTTAACATAGCCGAGGTGTCCTAATTTGATGACCCCCCGCCGGGCCCCTGGTTGGCCTATAAGGTCCAAATTCAAAACCTAAACTCGACAACACCTCCTCTTTGTGCACACCAAATTTCATTAAAATCGGATTAACCGTTTAGAAGTTACCGAATTATTTCCCTCTTTTTTTTTTCCTATACCACTGTGCGCTGTGTAACAGTGTTAACCCTTTCACTCACAAAACTAAACCGCTAGACTGTTTATGGATATGACTTCACCACACACCTAATTTTGACGTGTATTGATCATTTTTGGTGAAAAATGGAAAAAGTGTTTTCTAAGGATATCGCAGGATATTATCCTTTTTAGCATGTAGTGACATCAAATTCTAAAAAACAACTTATTTTTCTTCAGAAATAACCATTTACTGTAGCTGCGAACTTAAATATTGGGACACCGGTCTCCCGTATACGTCAAAGAGTTAAGTGGAAGTTTTGTTTTTAATTGAATATTGTAAGGCGTAATGAAAGTAAGTGTAATAAAAAATAAATAAATTTCATAAAATTTGATAATTTATGAAACCAGTTTAAGGTGGAGGGTATTTAATATTCGACAAAGACGAATACAGCACTCTAACTTGTTTTAATTTTTTTTAATATTTTTTTTTTTTAATTCTTTTTTTAAATGGGACCTTTTTTGCTTAAAAGAATTAAAAAAAAATTAAAAATAAATTTTTAAAGATTAAAAAAAAAAAATTGGAAAGAATGAAGAAATAGCTATCTGATCTGCTTTGGACAATTTTTGCTGGGACTAATAAGTCCGGTAGTGTCTGACATACTACTCAATAGTACTAACCTTAGTGCAAATTTCGACAAAATCGATTTTTTGAGTTGGGTCACTTGACATGACATTCCCCATATGTATATACATATAACCTGTTTATGGTGGAGGATATTTAAGATTCGGCACAGGCGAATATAGCACTCTAACTTGTTTATTCATAATATTTTGTGAACCGAGTTTGCTGAGTTTCAATACCAAACTGGTTAGGACAATAATTAATATTTTCGGTGAACTTGATTGATTTCCTTTGCTTAGTTTTAACGTGAGCGTGTTTTAGGGAAACAGACAGCTAAATCATAAGGACCCCGAAAATATATATATTTGTTGGGTCTCGGATGAATATTTCTTGGTGTTATCTTTATTTCCATTTTCACACAGATACAAATTATGTTAAACATTTACCATAGTTTATTTAACATTTGTTAAATTTAGTACATTATGTAACAGTCTGTTTAGTGTTACTTCTGTTTTACTTGGTTTAGTTTATGGGGCCATAAAAATAAAGGATATGTTTTCGTTAAAATTTGATAAGTTATATAACCTGTTTAGGGTGGAGGGTATTTCAGGGTATATTGAATATAGCACTCTAACTTGTTACATGTTTAATAATCTGTCCAATTTATAACTAAAATTGTTAAAATTTTTGGACCAGTCTATTATGATTTCAAGTATATCTGTGTTTGATGTGAATGAATGTACTTACATACATACATAAACATATATAGCATTTTAATACCTGCTCAACAACACTTTTTTATTCGATTTTAGAGTGCTTCAATTCTGTCAGGTTTTCAAATACGAACCATATCCACTGTTTGTTCTCTCTATTTACATACATATCTCATTCTTTAAAAGTACTCTACGAGTTCTGCGCACAATCATTATCAACATTGTGTTGAAGTTTTGGTACGTGAAAGTATTTACGGAGCATTGATTTCGTTTTGTTTTGTTTCATTTCCATTACTTTCGCTCTAAACGAGCCGTTATTAACTGTTTTCTTTGTTTTGTTTTTCTTTTATTTGAGTTTTCTTTATAAATTGAAATATTTACCGAAATGTCTGGATACAGATGTTTATTTTCTTCGGGATGGAGTTCCACTGCATTTTTATACCATACACCACTATAGTGGGGAGTGTATTATGCGTTTGTACTGATGTATGTAACACACAAAAATATTGGTCGTACACCGATTTTTACTATGGTGGGCCGTCATTTGACCCTAGCCCACATACAAAACTCCTTTTAAAAATATCTTAGACTCCCAAAAATTTACTTATAACCATTAGTATCGCGATGAAATTCAGCATAATTATATAAAAATACATCCCTCCTACCAATTTAAAACTAACTCCCAACTTCAACATAAAAGTTCCTTTGTGGAAAATAAATCATTTTTCAAATATACTCATGTTGTACGGTATCATATAGTCGGTATGTGTATGTATGTATGTATGTATGTATGTATGTATGTATGTATGTATGTATGTATGTATGTATGTATGTATGTATGTATGTATGTATGTATGTATGTATGTATGTATGTGTGTACTTGAATGCATATTAGGATGTCCCGTGGCTCACTTTTTGGAGGGAATACGCATACGTTTCTCGGGACACTCTAATGCATATACTTATGAAAAAAGGAAATACACAAATTAATAGAGTCGAATCATTTATTTAAATATCTTCATAATTCACTATGAGTGCAATATTCGGTTGTGCCGAATTCTAAATGCCCTCCACCATATACAGGTTATATTAATCATCAAATTTTAATGATGGATTTAAACTTATCATTCATTTTCATAGCGCCATAAACTAAACCATGTAAAACAGAAGTACCACTTAACAGACTGTTACATAATGCCTTAAATTAATAAATGTTAAACCATGATAAATGTTTAACATAATTTTATCTGTGTGAAAACGGAAATAAAAATGTATTACAAAACTTTCTATATAATATAAATATATTTACTATATATATACATATTTACTCTATTGAAATACTATGAAGTAACAAGTTAGCGTGCTATATTCGGCTGTGCCGAATCTTAAATACCCTCCACCATAAACAGGTTATATGTATTGACTGTTTTCCTAAGTGTAAAGCCGCAATTAATTTCGCTCCGAATTTTTAAAGTTTATCTTACAACCTAACTTAATTAAAATCTGAGACTTTGTTTAATAAAATCAGTGAAAAATTTGCTATTTATTAGTGTATTTATTTATTTGGATCGTTACTAATTTTTCCACATTAATCTGTTTAAATAAAAAACAAAATTTTGATCCGAAAACATTTAATAAAACATAAAAGAAATATAAAGAAAAGCTTACAACAACAGTGATAAATAATTGATCATCAATTCCTCTACTTGTACTCATCTACACGTTTATAACAACAACATAATACAAAGATAAGTACCATTCTCTTATTCCTTTTTGTTTTGTTTTTCTTTACTACAACAACAAACATTGATCATCTCTTTTGTTTGCTTGTCAAATGATAAAGTTGCCATCTGATTTATCTTGTTTCTACACTGTGCAAAATAATACATACTAATTTTTTAAAAAAATGGCTTGTTTATTAAAAAATTGTAATATTAAAGGTGAAGATGAAAGAATGGTGGTCTGTTGGCTGTGCCATGAATGTTGTCACTTTAAATGCAGTGGACTTTCAGGGCTAGTAGCAGAAGCTGTTTCTAAAAATAAAGGTTTACATTGGTGCTGTGAAAGTTGTAGAAAATTTGGTGTAAACTATTATCGATTTTTCCAAGAGACTAAAAAGAAATTCGCCGAAATTCAAGATGAAGCCGTTAAATTAAATGAACGCATTTCCGCATACGGAAAATTGTTCGATGATTTTAAATCTCTAGATAATTTAAAATCTCCTCCGCAATCTTCTCCCAAACGACGTAAATCGGCAAGAAACTTAACCAAGGAAAAACGTGATGATCAACCAACTGTGTCTGCACCTCCGTGTAACACTGCATCTGATCCAAACGTTCCATTAACTAATATTTCTGTTTCTGTACCTTCGTGTAACACTGCATCTGATCCAGTTATGCTGACGCAGTTTTATGTTCTGCCAATGTAACTACTAATGTGATTAATCCGATTGTTGATAATCCTCCGCAATTGATAAATACTGAAATTATTCCTCTCCGAGCAATTCCTCCAAAAAAGACAATATTCATTTCTCGTCTAGCAAGCGATACTACTTCCGATTCAGTTGATTTCTACATAAAAAATAAACTTGGTAATGATGCTGACATATCAATACAAAAATTTAATTTTTCTCAACCGAGATCAATATCATCTTTTAAGATTACAGTTTCTATGAATCACTTCGAAAGATTGCTTGATCCGAATTTCTGGCCAATAAATACTCTGGTCCGGGAATATATTTACAGGTCCAGACCTCAAACCATTGCTGCTCTTCCACAGCGTGAATCTTTTATTCCAAAAAACTAATTAATGATTACTTGTCCATCGTCTATCAAAATGTTCGAGGATTAAGAACAAAGTTAACAACGTTGTATATGAATAGTTTCAATATTGATCAACAAATATTAATATTTACGGAAACATGGCTAAATAAAAATTTTCTGAATACTGAAATTCTTTGCAATAAATTTAATATCTACCGTCGTGATCGTGGTAACAATACTACAGGAGGTGGTGTCCTAATTGCTGTTTCATGTAATTTATCATCTGAACTCGTAGTCATGGAATCTCCTCATGATGATATTGAATTTATATCCGTTTCTATTAAAATTAATGGTTATCAATTATTTATTTCTTGTTCGTATATTCCTCCTTCCTCTCATCAATCTTTATACGGTAAGCATGCTGAAGCTATCAGATCTGTTGCTCGTTCTTCAAAAGATGGAGACTCTCTTTTTATCTTTGGACACTTCAATCTGCCCTCAACAGAGTGGAAATTCTTACCAGATGATGGATATCTCATTCAGACGAGGCAGAATTCTAATTTCGATGATTTTTTTAATATCCTATATGATATGGGTCTATTCCAAATTAATGGCATTCGTAACGAATATTCAAAAATATTGGACTTAATATTCGTAAATGATGTGTCAAATAGTTTTATTAAACGCTCATCTCCTATTTCATGTCCAGAAGATCGTTATCATCCAACAATTGAATTAAGAACATCCATTTCACTAAATTTTTCAACGCCTTCGTCCAGCAAAAATGAAAAAGTATTTTCATTTAAACATGCCAACTATAATAAGTTAAATGAACTACTACTCGATACAAATTGGCAATACTTATTTTCTTGTCATACAAATGTTGATGATAAGTTAAAAGCCTTTTATATGAAGCTAAATAATTTCCTCAATTTATGTGTTCCTATGCGAAAATCTGAAAATCTATCCGGTCCACCATGGAACAATAAACAACTGGCTTACGCAAAAAATAGGAAGAATAAATGCTATAAAAAATTTAGACAATCCGGTTCTTACATTGATTATATGAGATACTCTATTACCCGTGCTGAATACAATATCCTTAATAAATCATGTTATAATAATTACCTTAACACAATGAAGATCAACTTTAAACGAAATCCAAAATCATTTTTCAAATTTGTTAATTCTAAGAAGAAAACTACTTGTTTTCCTTTATCCATGAAATTTCAACAATATGAATCCAGCGATGAGGCTTATATTAGTAATTTATTTGCTAACTTCTTTTCAATTACATATTCTGATGCAACTTATAATGATTCATTAGACTATCCTTTTAAAATAACTGCGAATCAACTAGTATCATTTACCTTTAATTGATATTTGTACCATTTCTATGGAAATAAAAAAACTCAAGTTTTCCTATAACTTTGGCCCAGACAATATTCCGAGCAGTATTTTAATTATTTGTGCAGACGCTATTGCTACTCCGCTAGCATATTTATTTAATACTTCAATAAAAAGTGGCTCTTTTCCCAATGTTTGGAAGGATTCGTTCCTAATTCCTTTGTATAAATCTGGAAATAAATCAGATGTTTCAAATTATCGTGGTATTGCAAAACTTAGTATAATACCAAAATTATTTGAGAAAATTGTTACCGACCACTTATGTTTCCAAGTTTCAAGTTTAATATCCCCTTGTCAGCATGGGTTTCAAAAGAAGTGTTCCACTACCACAAATCTTCTTCATCTTTCAACCGTTATTTATCGTGGATTTCTTCAACAGCAACAGACTGATGCAATCTATACTGATTTCAGTAAAGCATTTGATAAAGTTAACCATGTACTTTTGAGAAATAAACTTTATTTAATGGGGTTCTCTGATCTGAGTATAAAATGGATATATTCATATTTAACCAACAGAAAACAGATCGTAATATTTAAAAACTCCCGTTCCAGAAGAATTGATGTTCTTTTCGGTGTTCCACAAGGAAGTCATCTTGTCATCCTCTTCTATTTTCGCTGTTTATAAATGACTTGCCTCAAATTATTCGATATTCCAATATCCTGATGTATGCTGATGATGTAAAAATCTTCCTTAGTTATCGCCAATTGTGTGATCAGAAATATCTTCAAGATGACCTTAATTCGTTTCTTACGTGGTGTAATATAAATCTAATGGAACTAAACCTAAAAAAATGTAAATACATGCGATTTGCAAGAAAAAGTCCTATCCCTGCTAAGTACGTCTTCGATGGATATGAGCTCGAACTTGTTGATAATTTCCTTGATCTTGGAGTTTTACTTGATTCCAAACTAAACTGTATTCCCCATATAACGATGACAGTTAATAAAGCCAGAGGTGTACTTGGTTTCATAAAAAGGTGGTCAAAGGAATTCAATGATCCTTATGTTACAAAAACACTTTATACATCATTGGTAAGGCCTATTCTAGAGTATGGATCCATTATATGGGACCCTTTGTACAAAAAATATTCCGACGCCATTGAATCTGTCCAAAAGCAATTCCTGCTTTTTTGTCTCCGTGGACTAAATTTTAATCCATTAAATTTGCCTTCGTATTCCGCTAGACTTGCTTTAATTAAACTCCCAACACTCAAAAGCCGCAGAACAATGTTAAATATTTCGTTCATTTTCAAAATTATTACTGGCGATGTATGTTCCAGTTTTCTAATTAACAACATCGCGTTTAATGTTCCTCGACGTTCGTCCCGATATTTTTCTCCGATATCAATACAATTTTTTAGAGCTAACTATGCAAGTGCAGATCCATTAAGGAGGATGTCTCATGAATTTAATAAATATTATTTGTATATTGATTTCTCATTGTCTTCACATGTTATTAAAAATAATTTATTATTTAAGCTAAATTCATAACTATGTAAACCATTTTTATATTATTTTTTAAAAATGCCTGTAAGGAACTTTTCCATAGGCAAATAAATAAATAAACAAATAAATAAATATAAATCATCAAATTTTAATGATGGATTTCAATTCACCATAATATATCCTTCATTACGCCTTAAAATATACAATGTAAAACGGAACTAACACTTAACAGACTGTTACATAATGTACTAAATTTAACAAATTTTAAACTATGAAAATGTTGTGTATCTGTCTGAAAATGGAAATAATGTATTACAAAACTGTTTAGATAATTTTGTTTGTAAAAACATGAGTTCCGATTTTACGACTTTCTCCATTGTTGATCCTAGTACCAAAGTCTATGTTTATGTAGGACAAAATCATTGATCCGCATTACTTTTTGTAAAATATTAACAAGAAATAGTAAAAACCGATGATTAACCCCAGCCTTATGTAAATGCACTTACTCAGCAAAAAAGAACTTCAAAAGAAGCGAAAAAGAAGTAGAATTTACTCTACTGAAGTACTAAAAAAGACTTGCAGAACTGGTGATTTTAACACAGACTTGTCATAGGATTCCAATTTTGATTCCAGTTTCACTACTTTAGAAGTCGTTCACAAAAAGTAGTTTTTATGTTATTTTCGGAAGTTGAAATGGTGGTATTATAGAATTAATAAGAGAAATAGACACATTTAACATAAAAGCTCAAAAATAATATTTTTTAACTCACAAAAATGTAAGATCAAACAAGTATGAAAGTATAGTCGGGCATGGCCGACTATATGATACCCTACACCATGAGTATATTGAAAATTATTTATTTTAAATAAAGAAACTTTAATGTTGAATTTTACCTTAATTCCTATGTATTTAAGCAATTTATTGAAGAAAAACTAAATTTCTAAAAGAGGCTTTATATGGGAGTAAGGGTCAAATATAGGCCGATCCTCAACAAATTGGGAAGAGGGATGTAATTTTATATAAAGGTTAGTTATGCTGACTTTCATCTCGATACTAATGGTCATAAGTAAATTTTTGGACGTTTAAGTTATTTTTTAAAGAGGTGTTTGTATTATAAAAATTGGCATTTATGCCTATATAAAACTGAGTTGTGCCAATTTTTGGTGAGATAGTAGTAGTTTAACGTAGTTATGAGTTAAAAACCCTAAATCGGACGGTAAGGTTGTATGGGGCTAGGTTAAATAATGGACCGAATTCAAACATTTTCAATAGGCATCTTCCTTGTTGCAAAACTTTATCAAAATATCTTGAAAATTGTGGCCTGTAGCTTGCGCACAAGGTTTACATGGACAGACGGACGGACAGACATGTCTTAATCGACTCAGAAAGTGATGAGTCGATCGGTATACTTAAAGGTTTGTGTAGGAACAATATTTTTATGCGTTATAAACATCGGAACAAACGTATAATATCCTCCCCACTATAGTGGTGTAGGGTATAAAAATATAATTATTTTCGCTTCTTCGAAAGTCATTTAACATCACTTCGACAGAAAAATGTAATTCTTTTGGAACTTCGTTTTATTTTTGCTGGGTAGTAACTACATATTTTCCAAATTGAAGGAAGTGCGATTTCTGATTTGGCACATGTATGGAAAAAATACTTTAAAGAATTAATTTGATTCTCTAAAATTAAACACTATTTATTCAAACGTTCATAGCTAAATCGACTCAAAATTTCACAAGGACCAACAATATTCATATGTAAGGACCCACAATATTCATATGGATATATCTTGTTGGGTCTGAGATTAATATTTCTCAGTGTTACACTCAGAATAACAAACCTGCTCCAGTGATGGTGGTAGAGGTTATAATAATCGAATTTTTAATGATACAGAAGATTACCTTTCAAATATCTAATTTTTTGAAGAGGAATTACAAAAGTACTTATAAATTTTGCGACAATTAATATATAAATATAAAATTATATAATATAAAATTTAAATATTAAATAAAAAGACTGAGTTGACCTAGATTCGAACCACTTATGCTCCACTTTTCAATTCACTGTTCTACCCACAACACAACTGCTTTCCTTTACCCTCCAATAACTAATGTTTGTCATATAAAAATACAATATTCTTTTCGGTGTGTACAACAAAACAGTTGCCTTTTGTCAACACTGGTCTTGCTGAATTGCATAAAAATTTAAAGAGTTACGTTTTCTCAATGTGCACATTTTTTTTTTTTTTTTTTTTTTTTTTTGATCGCACGTTAGCAGTGAAAATCGTACTTTTATGTAAAACCCACCAGTTAACAAGCAAATTTAAGTGTAATTAATGGTCAGGATATAGAACCGGCGACTGTAAGGGTCTAGGTTCAAACGCAGTCTGCTTGTATATTTTTCATTTTTTTTAAATAAAACAACTTTTTTAACCCACTTTTAGACCTATTTTATGGTTGGTATAAAAAATTATGCTCCGATTTTCCACATAGTTGACCCTTGTATATAAAGCCATATATCTTCCAAAATTCATCAATAATATAACTGCAGTAGTTTTTGTAAAAAATACAAAAAACCTGTTGAAAAAGCAAGATTTTTATAGAGATAGGTAGGTTGATAAGAGGATGTATACTACATCAAATCCGAAGAAATACACCTAGGCCACTATCGGGTCTGTTGTGCGCTCCTTATCATGAAAAAAAGGGAACTGAATGAATTATTTTTCAGTGTTCATAAACTCAGTTTCCTGAACGTAATTCCTAAGAATCTTCCAACCAGTGTTAGTCAGGAATGTTATTTCCGGAATATCATCACTTTCAAGATACTTGGATCTAACTTCGACGAGCGCCTGGCAGTGGCAAAGAAAGTGCTCCAGAGTTTCACTGTTTTCTGCACATGCTCTACATTCGTCTGAATCCGCACGTCCAATTTTGCATAGATGTGCTCGTAATCCTGTGTGTCCACTCAGAATACGTACCATCATACTAACTTCAGACTTGCTCATTTCACTGAGCAAGAGTTTCACTGTCCTCTGCACATGCTCTACATTCGTCTGAATCCGCACGTCCACTTTTGCGTTTGTCAGGTTAACTGCCTCGAGCTCCCTTCCCTTTAAAGATATTACATTCGCCCTTTCGTTACCAACTACTCCCGAGTGGGCTGGTACCCATATGATGTGAACCTTACCTCTGGGAGAGTATTCAGTTAAAGCTTTCTTAAAATCCAATAAGGTCTTAGATTTAGTTCTATCGCCTGATATCGCCCTACTTGCCTTCTGGCTATCGGTAAATATATTAAGCGCTGTGGGCGCCATATTTATTCTAATCCAATTTACGCATTCCGTTATTGCTCGTACTTCTGAATGGAAGCATGTGTTATGATTTGGTAAACGGTGGTATATTTCTGTTTCTGGGTCTTCAATATAGAACCCCAGCCCCACTTGGTCCCCCAATTTAGAGCAATCGTGTAACAATGGATTCCTACTGGCATTTGCTCTAATGTTCCGCTTGACCAAGACATT